TATGAGAACTTGTCATCTTATTTTTTAATGTTCTATCTGATTTTGAGAGACCTCCCACAATTTCCCAAACAACCTGTAAATTGAATTATTTTCAATATATCTGATTTGCAAGTTTTTTGAATTTGCGGATCATGATTTTTTTTTTTTTTTGTAAAGTAGCATTTTTGTTTATATCACAGATAAAAAAAGGTGCAAAAGTGCTGCAAACCGATAACATAACTCATACAAGTTTTTGAAACAGCTATTCCAATTTGCAACCTTTTATTTTGCACGAAAATATATTTTTTTAAATAGCAGAATATTTTTAGTTTTGAAAACTGGTTGCAAATAATATTATTTTTCTTAACAATCTAGTAAATTTGCAAACTCGGAAAAGTTCCAGAACCTTGAAAAATTAACAAAAATCAACAAATTCGCACTTTTTGCAGTCGCAAAAAAAATTTGAAAAGTATTGCGAATTTTACAGAGCGATTTAAATAACGTCCTATAAGTAAATGCAAATTTGCAACGCTCCAAGATTAGTGCAAATGATTGTTAATTATCTATGGTCAATTTTGAATTGCGAAATTAAAACAATTGTTGCAATTCTAAGGAAACAACTAAAAAATACATTAACAAGTAATATCCTAACCTTATACTTATCATGCCAATATTTAAATAATATCCTGTTTAGTGTTTAACGCAGAAAACCATGGCGATTTAATTTAATTTTATCTTTAAAAATATTTATAGTTACATAGAAATTAAAAGAAAAATGTACAATACAAAGATGTTTACAGGGTATTAGAAGGGCGGATATATAAAAGTTATAACTGAAGGTGAAGCCTAAATGCAAAACTAATTCTGAGAATAAAATAATATTTATATATATTTTAAGGATTGCATGCATGACGTGAAAATGGGATTACTAACAAATAGCAAAAACACAAAATACCTACATGTTAGCAGGTAAACAAATTTGTGATTACTCATTGTAGTATAATGTATAGAACAGCGGCAGTCAAGAGCGGGGGCTGCGGGGAACTGTAGCGGTAGCAAAGTACTGCTGACAGTGCCGACACTTCTCCAGGCAGAACGAACTGGATCGCCTTGAGTGCTATAGTGAAATCAGCAGTTAGTTGATGCTCACGCATTGTTCTATTTGACTTAATTATTAATAATTTCTATTATACATACATTTTTAAATAGGTCCTGCATGGTCAGAGAAATGTCCCTAAGGTTTAACAAGAAGCTCTATCTTGTCCTCCTGTTGCCAAGTTACATAAGGATAACCTAAAATTACACCAGGAGGCCCTATCCTCGGCTATCGTTTTCTAAAAAAGTATACGCTTCAGCAACATACGAGCTATTCGCTATTCTCGACATTCATTTTGAAGTGTGTACGTTTTTAAAACGGGTGTTTTACAGCGAGCGGAATTTTTCACACGTTTTTGATAAAACGTGCATGTTTTCACGGATTTAGCCAATGTCACTTATATGTCACTTTAAGGATGATTAATTTGATTGATTTTAACAAATTCTATACTTTTTATTAATACCTACAAAAGTATCTAATTTCTTATAAATATGATTTGCAGTACTAAAAAAGTTTAATAGCTGAGAATTTCTTTCAATTAATATTAACTGTACAATTAAAAAATTTGGAAGATAAGAATCCTCAAAGATTCAGACATGCAGATGCAAAATCCATTTTTTGAATTAAATGGATATTGAATGAATATTTTTTATATCTTACCGTGTAATAATTTAATTATTAATTCATGTACGTTTTATTTGGTGTCGTCTCACTTCGTACTGTCTCAGTTTGTACGATGCAAAAATTATACCTGTTTTAGTTTCAGTTTGTACGGACTCTCCCAAACCAATTATTGATAGTCTCATTTCGTACTATCATCCCGAAATTACCTGGTTTAAATTATAAAGTACTTTATTAAATTTCCTCAATGACAGCCACAACGATTCAAAACGGATTTTGAAATAGGAGCTATGCAGGCAATTGGAAAAATATTTCCAGGCGCTGCAGTTACGGGGTGGGGTGTTCAGTATAATACGTCGTACGAAATGAGACTAGTCATAGGTAAACATTTGGAACGCCGTACGAAGTGGAACATTTAAGGGTCGTAGTACGAAATGGGACAGTACGAAGTGGGCATAAGCCTTTTATTTACAGATATTAATATACTTGCGGTTTCTTGCAGGTGGTAGTTTAAAGCTCTTCTGTATCACACGTTGTATCCAGAAATTTTAACACTTTTGTAAAATTGTTACAAAATAATAAAGAACTGAATTAGATAAGCAAAGTTATTTAAATTAATTTTGTACCATAAAAACTAGGATGTTTTATGATGTACGATTTTCCTGGAATTCTAGGTTGCATTAACTGCACTCGTATAGCTATTTTCCCGCCAAAAATTTAAAATTCAGTTTATCCTGAACATTTATATAGTATATGATTAGAAAAATCATCATTCGATAAATAATGTACAATTGGTTTGTTGTAATTAAATAACATTATTCTTATTATTTTATGGCCTGCACATTACTTGAAGTCAACGATATAGATAGTTTATAGTGATGCCAGACATATTACTTGCTCGTTAAAAACGAACAGGTTTTAAAAAACGAATGCTCATTGAACGCCAGTCAAGAATATAAATTTCAAAAACTACTCGCTATTCAACCACTTACTTTTGAAAACGGTTTGTTTTTTAGGGATTGTCGACATAGCCGCCCATCCCAATGTAGATGGTCTAAATATTTTTCGCTGAGCATCGTGGTCTTGTGGTCAAACAACATATTTTAATATTTCTTAATGTAATTTTAGTAAGAAATGGCTATCAAGTATTTTAACATATTTAATTTAAATATGGCGATAAATGGTTCAGATTTACAAGATGGTAAGGGTAATAACAGATATTTTCGAGGTTAAACTAAGAAAAATCCTTGTATTGTTGTTATATTGTTTTTATATTATTGTTCTATTGTTATTATATTGTTGTTATATTGTTATTATATTGATGTTATATTGCTGTTATACTGTTGTTATATTGTAATTATATTATTGTTATATTATTATTATTATATTGTTGTTATATTGTTGTTATCTTGTTGTTATATTCTTGTTATATTGTTATATAGTTATATGTAAACGTACAAAAATTGTAGTAAGTTTTTTTTAATTTGCAGTTATCGGTTATCAGAAATATATGGGTAAAAGAAAGTGTTTAGTCAAATATCAGGGCTGTCACTCTAGACAGAACTATGTATACATTTTTGTTCCTGAAAAAAAGCTCGGATCAAAACATAAAGACATTAATAATGTAAAACTAATTATTTAAATATTTGTCTTTGTAGAAGATGTATAGCTATTTATTGAGAAATTTTGAGAATTTCTTTTCACTTATCCAGGGACATTCTGTATATAAAAAAATTAAAGTAATTAAAAAAATATGGTAAAATTTCTTTTTTTCTCTCTTCATATTTATTTTTTTGTAGTTATGCACAACGTCGCCAGATTTTCTCGCTTTGCTTTTATTTTTTCCTATTCGGTTATTAGGTGATTTCTGACGATTTTAAATTTGTCTTTTTTATTTTTGTGCAATAATGTTATACTAGAAAACGTCTGTTTATTTTAATAATATTAATAACTAGTACTTTTACTTTCTTTCATAAGGTATTTGATGTAAAAAAAAATTTGTTTATTTTTCCAGCTTTTTACAAGAACTTTTATTTTAATACCTACTTCAAACATCTAGAGTCATTTTGTGCCATTTTTGTCCCAGTTTACTTAATAGATTTGGTAAATTATTAGTAAATTAGCTTGAGAATTAGTAAAATTGGGGGAATTAGAGGGTAATTAGAGGAATTACTAGACATTTTTAAAGTTTAATGGAATTATAATATATAAGGGGAATTAATGAGGAATTAGTAACAATTCTGCATATATTAATTTTACAAATAAAAGGAACCATGCTCCAGTTAGCATAAATAATACCCAAATAGCTTGAGTTAATACACCAAAATATTTGGGTATTAGGTACTTTAGCGTAAGGCTGCGATGGAGAGCCCACATAAAAAAGAAGAAGGAGCTACGAATAAAATACAAAAAAATTCGTTCGCTTAACGGAAGACATTCTGACTTCTCAAGTTACAATAAATTACTCCGGTATTAACAGGTACTCAAACCAGTGTAGACATATGGCATCCAGCAAGAGGAACATTTAAATAATGCAATATTTAAAGAATAAAGTAGGGAACTGTGAGCTTACAGAGACCTGGAGATGGAGAGCGTTAACCAGACCACCGATAATTTTGGTAAGAGTCACAAACAACCACGTTAATCTCGAATATATGAAAGAAGGATTAAAAGGGTAAAAGCTTTAGAGTTTTGAAATAGGACACAAAATACGAAAAAAAAAAAAACTAGAACGCAAAATGAAAAAATAATTATAAAAACAAATAATTTTAAACGATTGAAGTCGACAAGCTGTATTACAGCAAACTAAATTATATTTTCGTATGTGAGTCATCGGTTAAAAAGCATAAATTATTTAAAATTTCCATGAAAAAATATTTTTTTTTATCATCAGCCAAAAGATATTATTTAAGATTTAATTAACTTCAAACAAAGTTATTATGAGTTGTGAGAAACGACTTTTCCCATTATACTCTATAGCGTTTTTGTCTGCATCCTTAATCTTTAGTTTATTATTATTTTTCACAAAACATCGCAAATCATTCTATAAGTACATCCAATTTACAAATCTATTTAAAAAAATTTAAAGTTAAAAAAAAACAGAAGAAAAACTCACCAATCTTCCTAACTCGCTGAAAGGCGCTGACACTTCTTGATCCTGACTCATTCTTATGGAAACTAAATCACCAAATCATTTCCCCAAAGCACCGCGAAGCAAAAATTACTCCAGACTTTATTAAAATTACTAATTGACTGGTAAATTCCTGGAAGGGCTCGACTGAAAGCGGTGATAACAGGAAATATGATGTGCCCGAAGAGTCAAGAACTCGAGGCACCTGCTGAAAAGCTGAAAACCGAAATTTCGTGGAGGTGGGAGTGGAGAAGACACGCCTCTAAAGGTGCTGAAACGCCCCTATATGTGTGGATTCTTATGCGAATATTTAGGCTTACGTTACAGAAAACAATTAAGTATTATTTATATAGGTCGGAGTAATATTTAATTAACATAAACTATCAAAAAAAAATGTTTAAAGAAAAACAATATAAAAAATACATTTATATGTTCAGCAAGAAAATTTCCCAACAGCAGAACAAATTAACTTTGCAAAAGTAATACTAGTATGAAATTGCAATAAAAATACAAAAAATAATAGATTGAAAAATTAATTAAAATATACCTACATAAAAAGTTTAAAAAAAAAACAATAAAAATATAAAAATAATATAATCATAGGAAATAAAATTAAAATATAGTACACTTGTAAATTTTAATTCCGAAACTGATACAGTGTAATTTATTATTAAAACATTTAAATGAATCAAAATAAATATTAGAATCACTGGAAAAGTTATTATTGGTAAAACACATTGTATATTTTGGCATTTTTCAAAAATGTTGTTTTAAGAGGTAGAATCCCGTAGATATGACATAACCGTAGAAAAAATAATGTATGTAGATGCTCCGAGAAATACACAGGGTGTCCCAAAATTCCGTGTACATAGAGCTAATGAGTGTTGGTGAGATCAAAATAAGTCGATTCAGTCAAAATTACCTGTATCACAAAGTGCTTTATTTGCCAGTGAGGAAGCTTCAAAAAAAATTTTTTTTAATAACCTAAAAACGCTTTATTTGATTTTATAGAATTTGGTATGTAGCTATTTTAATTGAAGAGCCATTATTCAAAGCAAAAATTACACCAACTGAAATCATGGATGTGTAAAAACCACCCTAATCCTACCATAAATGACATCGTATTTTTTTTAGGCCGCCAATTCTTTTTATGGTGAGCTGTATTTATTTGCATCATTTTTTGTCTCTTGTATTTGTCATGGTATTTGAGTAAAAAAAATTTATGGACTGATTGTGTGACTTTTCAAGAAAACTAAGTTGGCGGTTATAACTAACGCAACCCGAACACAGTCATTTTTAACGTTATTACAATAAAAAAAATCATCAATAGCCATAGGTATCGACTAAAAAATAACAATTCAAACAGATATGTAGTTAGAGACTTCACATTTTCAAGAAAACTAAGTTGATGGTTGTCAACGTTACTAATAAAAAATTGATAATATTGACAGATATGGTATTAGGCATTCCAAACAAAATGGCTACCAGTGGGTTTTGGCAAAATTATGGCAACCCTGTAGGCCTGGTGATTTAACAAGGTCAATGAAATAGATAGTTACATAGATTGATCATCCATATTTTTAAAAATAAACATAAACTTATGCCTTGAAGTAAAAATGTAGGTAATTATTTTTATTACTATTTTCAAAGGCTAAATATTGGTATGTAAACAAATTTTTGCAAAATCGATTCTGAATAATGAGCACTTGCGAGGCAATATGGCTGCTCGCAAACGACCCGCTTTGAGCAATCTGTATAACTATATATGTATCATTGACGCTGTAAATGGCAACAGGCTCACAGGGTTGACATATCTAAATGTCAGTTCCCACTTGTCAGCAGTTTGACAGGTCATTCTAATGCCTAATAGAACTGTAAAAATTGTCGATACTACTTATTTTATGTAATGTATTTTTTTGTTTTGCTTCAATTTCAAACATTTTGTGGCTGGTATGGAGTACACATTTATTGAACAAACCGATATGTTGCTAGTTCTTGGTAGTCTAATCAACAAGTTCAAAAGCGTGTTTTTAGGACATACTATTACGAAAATTATGTTCAATAGCTCGTTCGATTCGGAATAATGTCTAAATCAAAGTGTAAAGAAAAATTTTGCAGTGCATAAAAAATTGCAAAAGTTATAAACAATTAAACACCTCAAAAACATGGTGTTTGGTTTTTCGCCTATAGTTTGTAAACTATAAATATTTTTGGATTTTTCAAAAAAGATCCTTAAAGAGAAGAAAATTTGCTATAAATATGTTCCAAATCCCGGAACTGTACCTCCGTTTTAATGTCGAGAAAAGACATTTATTAATTAAAAAAAAAAAATTTTCCTCCATTTGTTTATAATTTTTTTATAAACAAATGAAGTATTTCAATTTTTTTCAAATTTTTTTTTACAACTTTCTAGACAATTGCCAATTATGATTTAAAAAAAAAATTTTTTTCTTAATAATAACTTTTAATTGTTTATAATCGTTTTTTTAATATATCTATTGTTTAAATTATTAGTTAAGAAATGTGTTTTTTTTAAACATAATTGACAGTCCTCTACAAAGTGACAGCAAAAAAATTTTTTTTATTAATAATTTCATTGTTTATTAAGTTAACAATTTTGAAAGAAATAAAAATACGAAAAACCACTTAGTGCATTAAAATGACGGAAAAAATTTTATTCCATTTTTTATTAAACTTAAAAAAAAATCAATTTTTATAAACAAATATAAAAAACAAGATCAGTATAATTAACCAAAAAAATAATAACTTACATATTTTATATTTTCATCAATGTCTAATATTATTTTATCTAATATTCAGCGCAAACCGCGTTGGCACGACACTGGACGACCACGCGTTGAGCGACGTTCCGAGAATGCCGAAATTAAGTCGAAGATAGGCACAGGCACGGCACAGAGCACAGTAAATGTGTGCCTCTGTTGTTTGCTCTCTCATTATAACGCGAAAAACAAGGACAACGACAATATCGCGGGGCGCTGTCCTTATCGTAACTTGCTGTATAGTCTATCCAAACAATAAGTCAACAAAAAAGGAATACCGCAAACGCAAAAAAAGTTCGGCATCTGTTTGAATAATTGGAAAAAAAATGGTGTAGGGAATGGGTTGCTTATCGGAAGTCAGCTAAACTAACTCTTTGATAGACCGCCCATAGACGCAGATATATGCTTTTACTTCAAATTTTATTTAATAATTTAATTATATGTACGTATTATAGGTATATGTTTCTTTCGATTTGAAGATTTAAAATAGTAATTTTTTATATACATATATAATTAGAATAAAATAAGTAGGATTTATAACTGACGTTTTCCTTCAACGATTTCAGTGTTTTAGATAAAATTTTGCTTTTTTTTTCTCCAAGAAGCGTTAACAACTTTGTCGGTATACTGCCTCTGTAAGTATATTGTTTTTGGCGGTGTATCGCCTTTGACGGCTATTGTCTTTGTCGGTATATTGTCTTTGACGACATATTGTCTTGTCAGCATATTGTCTTTGTCCGTTTAAAAAGTATTGTAACTTGCGAAATTTTTAACCAATGCTGAAAAGGAAAATCAAACGTATTTGAATAATAGTATATTATTAAACGAGCAAATAATGGCCATACATTGCGAGTCTAATACTATACTTTGTCCACGACCATTATGGTTTCTTTTTTAAATAAAAGTTAAGTGTAGAATGGAAAGTATTTATTAAACATAGGTAAAACTAACTGTTGTTTTTTTCGATTTTTCGATTTTTCGATTTTTTGATTTTTCGATTTTTCGATTTTTCGATTTTTCGATTTTTCGATTTTTCGATTTTTCGATTTTTCGATTTTTCGATTTTTCGATTTTTCGATTTTTCGATTTTTCGATTTTTCGATTTTTCGATTTTTCGATTTTTTGATTTTTCGATTTTTCGATTTTTCGATTTTTCGATTTTTCGATTTTTCGATTTTTCGATTTTTCGATTTTTCGACTTTAAGATTTTTCGATTTTTCGATTTTTTGATTTTTCGATTTTTCGATTTTTCGATTTTTCGATTTTTCGATTTTTCGATTTTTCGATTTTTCGATTTTTCGATTTTTCGATTTTTCGATTTTTCGATTTTTCGATTTTTCGATTTTTCGATTTTTCGATTTTTCGATTTTTCGATTTTTCGATTTTTCGATTTTTCGATTTTTCGATTTTTCGATTTTTCGATTTTTCGATTTTTCGATTTTTCGATTTTTCGATTTTTCGATTTTTCGATTTTTCGATTTTTCGATTTTTCGATTTTTCGATTTTTCGATTTTTCGATTTTTCGATTTTTCGATTTTTCGATTTTTCGATTTTTCGATTTTTCGATTTTTCGATTTTTCGATTTTTCGATTTTTCGATTTTTCGATTTTTCGATTTTTCGATTTTTCGATTTTTCGATTTTTCGATTTTTCGATTTTTCGATTTTTCGATTTTTCGATTTTTCGATTTTTCGATTTTTCGATTTTTCGATTTTTCGATTTTTCGATTTTTCGATTTTTCGATTTTTCGATTTTTAGATTTTTCGATTTTTCGATTTTTTGATTTTTCGATTTTTCGATTTTTCGATTTTTCGATTTTTTGATTTTTCGATTTTTTTCGATTTTTCGATTTTTTTTAGATTTTTCGATTACCTATAAATAATATTTTCATATCAGTTTAGACATACGTGCTGTCGTGACGTCATACCAGTGAATAATAGGTATTATTATTCTTAAGGAAGTACAAGTATAATGAATGTTTTATAGAACAGTCGTGGACAAAACTAATTATTTTATAAAAAATAAACTCTTTTAAAATGAACAGTCTCAGCCAATTTGTTTAATGTTTATAAAAATTTGTTAAACCATGGGTATATCGAAAACACTTCTACCGTGCAAGAAGCAGCGTTTATTACTGGTATATCGGTTTATAGAATGAACCAAATTATAAAAAATGGAATTTTCACCAAAAAAGTTCGTAAAGACAAAGGTGTGAAAAAAAAATTAGATCCAGCCATTGCCAAATCCATTGTGAATACAGTGTATGAACTATAAAGTACTATAAAATACTATTCCCACTCTTGATATCATACATAAACCCTTAAGTGAAACTTATTTCGATACATATACAAAAAGGTCTACATTGCGTAATTGGCTAAAAAAATCGGTTTTAAATACAAAATGATAGATAAAAGAAGTGTAGTTATGACAAGACGAATAGTAAACTGGAGAAAATCTTATTTACAGAAAATTCGTGAATTCAAAAATGAAAGCAGGCCAATTTATTTTCTGCATGAAACGTGGTATGATTCGCATGATACTGCAAAAAAGGGCTGGACA